AAATTCCTCAACATAACTAAGGGAAAATACACAAAACCAATAGCCAACATTATTTTCAACAAAGAGAGACTGAAAGCAAGCTCCCTGAGAACGGGAACCAGACAAGGCTGGTTTTTTACCACTACTACTACTAAATATCGTATTGGAAGTCCTAGCCAAAGTAATAAGGTAAGAAAAAAAAAGTAAAAAGCATCCAAACTGGCAAAGAAATAGTAAAATCATCTCTGCTTGCATATATGTGATCCTACACATAGAAGACTGCAGAGACTCAATAAGAAAACTACTAGAACTAATACAAGGATTCAGCAAAACAGCAGGGAGCAAGATCTACACACAAAACTCAGTCAGATCGCTATGTTTTGTAAGAATTCTGAGGTGTACAGTACAGCTGACAAGGGACAAGGTTGCAGTCACTTCTCTGGCACAGCCAGCTACCCAGAGGGACTAAGTAGTTGGACCTGTGGGCTTGGGACCATAGTTGCAGGTGATATGGAGCTCAAATGGCATAACATACTACACAAAACATTGTTCCATGTCCTACTTTGGCGAGTAGTGACTGGGATCTTAAAAGCTTGCAAGCTGCCATCTAGATGCAACGATGGGTCTCTCCTTGTCCAGAGCAAAGAAGAATAAAGAAAACAAAAGATTCATGGAAACAATTAGTCCAAGTGACAGGTACACCATGCAATCTGCAGCCTTTATGACTATGAGACCAGAAGAACTAGATGGTACCCACTCAGAGGGGGTCTATGCAGGAAATCCTGGATAAAGTAGGAGAACAATGTGGAATAAAACTCAAAATCATTTGAGGAGAAATAAAAAAAAAAAAAAGGGAGGACCAGTTTTGCTGGTCTGATAGAGCCTGATGGAACCACTGAGACTATGGCCCCCAGCTGCCCTTCAGGTCTAGTATTCAACCCACACCTGTGGCTTCCAGCCAAACAAAAGACAGGCATATGAGGTAAATTTTTACCTGAGACAGATACACTCCTTGGATAGAACTATCATGGGAGAAAGAAAGGCTATGTGTGCATAGGGAGGCAGCTCAGGGGTCAGGAGAGCATGGAGGGATGCACACAGGGAAGAGGTAAGCATGGGGAGGAAGTGGGAGGGGAGCTGTTGCATTGTGGGAAATTGTAGTCAATGTCATGAGACAAAGTGTATGTGAATTGCTGTATGGAAAATGAATTTGCTCTGTAAACTTTAACCCAAATCACACACACACACACACACACACACACACAAAATCAGTCAGATTCATCTTAACTTTTTCTGAGAACTCTGAAAAGGAAATCAGGATGACAATACCATTTACAATAACCACCCAAAAGATGAAGCACTTAGGAATAAATCTAACCAAAGACACAAAAGAACTATACAAAGAAAGGTATAAAATACTATTACAAGAAACCAAGAGACTAACCTAAATGAAAGAATATACCATGTTCATGGATAAGAAGGCTGAACACTGTGAAAATGTGAATACTACCCAAAGCAGTCTACAAATATAATGCAATTCTGATCCAGATTCCATCATCATTCTTTAAAGATAGAATAGTACTCACCAATTTTATATAGAAAGGAAAGAGACCCCAGATACACAATACTAAAGAAGAAGAACAAAGTAGGAGTCCTCACACTCCTCAATCTTAAAATCTACCATATAGGTATAGTAGTTAAAACAGCCTGATAGTGGTACAATGACAGAACAGAACTGAGAACCCAGAAGCAAATCCATCCACTGATGGACAGCTGATCTCTTTCAAAGGGATGAACCCCATTAAATGGGAAAGAGATTATCATTTTAACAAATCATGCTGACAAAACTGGCTATCAATTTGAAGAAAAGCGAAAGAGGATCCATAGCTCTCACAATAGACAAAAACTAACTCGATATCAATCAAGGACGTAAATGTAAAACTTAAAACTATAAATATCATCAAAGAGAAGTTAGGGGCAAACTTAGGTGCCCTAATACATGGCATCGATACTTTTTCAAACATATCTAAAAATGAACAAACAGCCAAAGACTAGATGACTCGTGTCTCCTAAAAATTAAACACTTATGCACAATACAAGACTTCACCCAAAGAGTAAAAGGAGAACTTACAGACGGGGGAAAAAAATGGCAATGACATATTGGACAAGGTGCTGATCTCCAAAATCTATACAAAGCTTCAACACCTGAACAACAAAAATACAAACAATCAATGAAAAAATAAGCACAGGACATGAAGAGATACTTCACCAAAGAAGACATTCATGAGGCCAACAAACAGAAGAAGAAATGGTCTCCATCATTAGCCATAAGAAACGCAAATCAAAACATCAACGAAATGTTTTCTCATACCAGTATTAACAACAATGTTCAAAAACAGAAAACAGCAAAAGCTGGAATGGATGTCAAAGGCCTACGACACTCATACACTGCTGGTGGAAAACTGTAAAATGGAGCCACCACCGTGGAAAACCATATGGTACTTCCTTAAACATTGAAAACAGAAATACCATATGATCCAGCAGTTCCACTACTAGGTGCACATCCTAGAGAAATAAGAGCCGTGACACAAACAGATATATGTGCATTCATGTTCACAGAAGCATTACTCACAACAGCAAAAAGATGGAAACAATCTGTGTCCATCAATGAATGAATGACAAATAAACAAAATGTGGTACATATACACAATGGAATACTACACAATGATAAAGAATAATTACGAGTCTGCACAACATCATATAACATGGATGAATCTGGAGGACATAATGCTAAGTGGAAGAAGTCAATCACAAAAGGACAAATATTTCATGAGACCACTATCATAAAGTCAAAAATAAGTTTACACAGAGAAAGCAACATTTTCCAGTGGTCTTCAGAGATGGGAGGAAAAGAGGAAGAATCACTTACTAGATAGCAAAAATGTTAATTCTGGTCAAAGACAAGGCAATTCACAATACAAGAGAAGTCAGTAAAATGTGACCGAGACAATTGCAGACACTGAGAAGTCTGCATGAATGAAGACAACTATTCTGCAACAACAATAGTAACAATGAAAAATTTGCCACATAGGTAGAAAGGTGTTATATAGTTGTGGGAGGGTGCATGGGAGTGTATTTACATGCATATACAGGTATGTTGTTGTTGTTGTTATTTGCCCTTAAGTTGGACCCGACTCATAGCAACCTTTCCTTGCATTTCCGAGGTGGTATCACTAGGGGAGTAGATTGCCCAGTTATGAGCATTTGCATGTACATGTATGTGCTGCATATATATTCATATACATAACAGAGTACATGTGGCAGAGTCATGCAAACTTCTTAGACATATCCAAACATCACGTAGGACTGAATTACTGGGCTTAAATGCTAGGGACCATAGTCTTGGGGGACATCTAGATCAATCTGTGTAATATAGTTCACAAAGCTAATGCTCTACATCGCAGTTTGGTGAGTAGTGTCTGGGGTCTTAAAAGCTCTCAAGAGGCCACCTAAGATACAACTATTGGTCTGTTCCTGCCTGAAGCAAAGGAGAAGGAAGGAAAACAAAGACTCGAGGAAGCAATGAGTCAACAGGACTAATGGCCCCCATGAGCCACAGCCTCCTCAAGCCTGAGACCAGAGGAGCTGGATGGTGCCCATCTACGACTCCTGATCGCTCTGACCTGGGACACAACAGAAGGTCCCAAATAGAATGAGTGAAAAATGTAGAACAAACTTCAAATCCATACAAAACACCAGACTTAGTGGGCTGATAGAGACTGGAGCAAACCCTGAGACTACTGCCCGAAGACACGCTTTTAACCGGGAACAGAAGCCACTCCTGGAGGTCACCTTTCAGCCAAATAATAGAGGGGTGTATACACCAGGTACACACCAGGGGCACAGAGCGGACTTGAGGGGAGTGCCGACACATTGTGGGGCAGCACCAGGGTCACAGAACAATTGGGATATGAACTGTTGAATGAGAAACTAATTTGCTATGTAAACTTTCACCTAAAAGGAAATATTTTTAAAAAAAGAAATAAAAGCAAATGTAAACAAAATAACAAAATAAATAAAAATAAATAGAGATTTATATCAAAACTAAAGATCCCCATTCCAAGGCACAAATTTCTTTTGAATCATTTACTTTTAAATTATTTTCCAAGAATACATTTAGAAATGATCATTAAGGTGATACCCCTTTATAGGAATAAACTCCTATCCCTTAAAGAGGGAGCTCAGGTGGCACAGTGCCTAAGGCATTTGACTGCTAACCAGAAGGCTGGTGGTTCAAACCCACCAGCCACTCCTCGGAAGGAAGGTTGGGCAATCTACTTCCATAGTGATACTGCCTCAGAAACCCAAGGAGGGGTCGCTATGAGTCAGGTCCGACTCAACGGCACATAACAACAACACAACGCCATCCCTTAAAGAAGGAGCTCTGGTGATATGGTGCCTAAGGTACCTGACTGCTAACCAGAAGGCTGGCGGTTCAAACCCAACAGCCACTCCTCGGAAGGAAGACTGGGCAATCTACTTCTGTACTGATACCACCTCGGAAACTCAAGGAGGGGTTGCTGTGCATCTGATCCAACTGGACAGCGGCGAGTTTTTATAGCAGTGAATGTGATCCCATTTAGGAATAGGATTTTCTTTGTTATGTTAATGAGACCAGATCTGGGTAGAGCAGATCACTTTGAGATATGGAAGGGCAGACAAATAAGGCCCAGAGGCAAGGAAGCAGATAGGGAAAGACAGCTGCCAAGCTACATGAAATACAGCAAGACCACCAGGAATCAAGGAGTGGAGGCTGAAAGGAGGCAAGGACCTTCCCCAGAGCCAACAGACAGACAGAACACCTTTCCCTTGAGCTCACGTGCTGAATTCAGATTTCTAGCCCCTAAACTGCAAGAGTACAAATTTCTGTGCGTTCAAGCCGCTCACTTGTGGTATCTCTGTTAGAGCAGCACTAAGAAACTAAGACCCCATCCCCAAAATAAAACTTTGTCTTCACCTACCTTGCGCGGTTGGAAGTCATACTTCACACAGTGCTGAAAACCTTTGCCTTTGGACTTGAGTGACGTGACTATTAAACAGTTTCCAACAAAATGAGCAGAGTATCCAACTCCTTTGCTTGTACGAAAGCTGTAAAGAAAACTGAGAATAGTATAATGCCCTCTGCTAAGAGAACCAGGTATCTACTACCCATTAAGAAAACACCATTACAAGAAAAGTATATACTGTCCTGTAGGACAGACGAGGAATTACACGCACCAGATGCAGATAAAAACATGAAGAATTTCTATATAACTGAAAGGCAAGAAATTTGAAACAGAGAAATATAAGACCATGGAACGTTTTAAAATTTCAAATTCAGAAGATCCTGAAAGCACGAGAACAGAGTAATGGCCACCGAAAGGCTGACAGATTCGCTCTGCCTTCAAGGCACATCTACAATTAGCAGATACAGAGACCATTAATACGCAGTTCATGTTCCAGAACAACTTGCTCTCTAATTCTGCCATACATTTGAACATGGCTAACCAAAAAAAAAAAGTCAGAGCCAGGTTTGGCAAATACTATGGCTAACCAAGGGAAGCAGTTCACACTCAGTCATATCATAGAAAAGGTGTCACTGAAATGAAGGTGCACTCTCCCCAACTGCCCATCCTGCAGTTCAACCATTCATATTTGGAGATTCCAGCAGGTGTCTGTTGGAAGCGATCACAGCAATCCAGACAATTTCTGTAAGAAAGCTTACATGCCAACAACAGCTGTTAGGTGTTTTTTGTTTGTGTATGTCCATTTCTGAGCCAATCATTCCAAGAGCTTTTAAAATATTCTCTCATTAAATCATATGTGATAGAGACTATTATTATCCTTATCGTTAGAGGAATGTACCAAAGAACGAGACGAACACTAAGTGGCAAAACCAGGACTTGAACTCTGGCAATCTTGTTTCAGAGAATGGCAACTATTCAAGGAGTCAGTACAAGTAAGCACTGAGAAAGTCTGCCATGCAGTAAGATAAGCAGGGAATGTTGGATGTTCTTAACAACTATACTCAGTGCTATTGGCCGACCGAAACGCCCAGGCTCTCGGTCATTACAGAGCAACCCAATCTGCTCCTTTCTACCAAAGAAGTACTCCTGCTGGATTATAATTTCTTACATGGCATTATGATTGATGTTTTAAAGGCTTCTCTCAGTTGATCAGAGAACAAGGTAAGCAAAGAGGTAAAGTAAATGCAATGTGGTAGGAGGTTTGTTTGCCCACACCCTGATCAGAGACAAGCCTCTTCACAAAAAATCCATACATGCTGATCTATCTATGTGTGTATATGTGTGTGTGTGTATACATATGTATTATATATGTGTGCATATACATATTCACACAAATACATATATTCTACTTAATGTCACCTTAATACTATTGCTTTGCAAAATTCAAATAATTAAAAACAAAGGTCATAGAATTAAAGATATTACTTACCAATACAAATAAGGCTTATCCTTATCCACATTAATATTATTTAATGGATCCATACGAAACCACGTGTTCAGAGTGAACCCATTCTGATAAGGCCACTTTGCAATAGGAGGCAATGCAATTGCCTACAAAAAAAAAAAAGAAAAGAAAAAGATACAAAGTATCAGATAGAGGAAACTTATAGGAACTTAGGTCAGATACGGTTTCTACAACTTAAAAAATAATCAAGGACCTCGGATAAGCAAAGCACTATTAAAGAAGAAGAACAAAGTAGGAGGTCTCACACTGCTGGACCTCAAAACCTATATATAACCACAGCAGTCAAAACTGCCTGCTACTGGTACAGTGCAGACACATAGGCCAATAGAATAGAATTGAGAACCCAGAAATAGACTCATCGGCCTATGGTCAGCTCATCTTTGACAAAGGGCCCAAATCCATTAAATGGAGAAGAGAATGTTTATTTAATAAATGGTGCTAGCAAAACTGGATACACATTTGCAGAAAAATGAAACAAGATCTGTACCTCACACCGTACACAAAAACTAACTCCAGATGGATCAAAGATTTAAACGTGAAACCTAAAACTATGGAGTTCTTCAAGGAAAAACTAGGGGCAAATTTAGGGGCCCTAATATATAGCATAAATAGACTACCAAGCATAACCCAAAATGCACAAATAGCAGAAGAGAAATGAGATGAATGGGATCTTCTAAAAATCAAATTTTTATGTGCTCCAAAGACTTCTCCAAAAGAGTCCAAAGAGAACCTACAGATTGGGAAAAAATATTTGGTAATGATATATCTGACAAGGGACTTATCTCTAGAATTCATACAATACTCCAACACCTCAATAACAAAAAAAGCAAATAATCCAATTAAAAAATGGGCAAAAGACATGAATAGACACTTCACTAAACAGGATATTCAGGCAGCCAACAAACATATGAAGAAATGCTCATGATCATTAGCCATTAGAGAGATGCAAATCAAAACAACAATGAGATACCATCTTGCCCCAGCTCTAGTAGCAAACTTCAACAGAAAATAACAAATGCTAGCGAGGATGAGGAGAGACTGGGACTCTGATACACTGCTGGTGGGACTGTACAATGGTACAACCACTGTGGAAAGAAGTATAGCGATTCCTTCAAAAGTTGGAATTAGAAATATCATTTGACCCAGCCATTCCATTACCAGGTATATATCCTAAAGAAGTGAGAGCCATGATAAGAACAGACATATGCACACCCATGTTCATCGCAGCACTATTTACAATAGCCAAAAGATGGAAGCAACCAAAGTGTCCATCAACTGAGGAATGGATAACCAACTATGGTACATACACACAATGGAATACTATGCAACCCTAAAGAATAACCTATACTCTGCAAAATATCACATAACATGGATGAACTTGGAGGACATTATGCTGAGTGAAATAAGTCAATCACAGAAGAACAAATACTACATTAGTCCATTATTGTAAAAGTCAAGGAATGGTTTATATATGGAAGGAAATTTTCTTTGTTGGTTACCAGGTGTGGGAGGGGAGGAAACACTGTTAGATAGGTAGAGATAAGTATTGATTTGGGTGAAGACAAGGGTCATGTACCAAATGTGAGTGGCACTGAGGAAGAGGAAGACACAGAGAGGTACATGGGAGGTGCAGACAAGAACGATGAACCCTTCTGCACATACAGCACTGCGTTGTCAGTGAAGGCAAACATGAGTACGCTGGTGGAGAGATGGGTGGACAGGCTGAAAATTAGGTATGTCTATGTAGCAGGGAATGTAACCAGGACCATGTACTGGGTGGCAGACAATGGTTCTACAAGCATATTTGTATGTTCTGTAAGAATTCCCAGGCGTATAGTAGAGCTGACAACGGACAAGGTTGTAGTCACTTCTTGGGCACAGCCAGCTACCCAGAGGGAGTGAGCAGTTGAACCTGTGGCTCAGGACGATACTCACAGGGGACATCAAGCTCAATTGACATAACATACTACACAAAACACTGTTCCACCTCCTACTTGGGTAAGTAGCAACTGGGATCTTAAAAGCTTAAAAGGAGCCATCTAGAGGCAACAGTGGGTCTGTCCTTGTCCAGAGCAAAGAAGAATGAAAAAAAAAACAAAGATTCAAGGAAACAATTGGTTCCAGTGACTGGTACACCATGCAATCTGCAGCCTACATGACTATGAGACCAGGAAAACTAGATGGTGCCCAGCTACCACAGTCAACCACTCAGAGGGGGATCTATGTAGGACATCCTGGATAGAGATGGAGAACAATGTGGAACCAAACTCAAAAATCATTTGGAAAAAAAAAAGGGAGGGGACCAGGTTTGCTGATCTGATAGAGCCTGATAGAACCACTGAGACTATGGCCACTAGCTGCCCTTCAGGTCTGGAATTGGAACGATACCTGTGGCTTCCAAACAAACAAAAGACAGGCACATGTGGTGAACACGGAACATTCACACTAGGTAGATATATACTCCTTGGAGAGAACAATCATGGGAGAATAGAAGGGCTGTGTATGCACAGGGATATAGCTCAGGGGGCAGGAGAGCATGGAGAGATGGACACAGGGAAGAGATAACTATCAGGAGGAAGTGGGAAGGGAGCTGTTGCATTGGGGTAAATTCTAGTCAATGTCATGAGACAAAGTGTATGTGAACTGCTGTATGGAAAGTGAATTTGCTATGTAAAGTTTCACCCAAACCACAATAAAAAAAAAATAATTTAAAAAAATAAAAATTAAGGGATTAATATCAGAAAATCTTGATCAAATATGTAGAGAATATCATCATATCAAAATCATCTATAAATATAACTCACTGACACAGAAGCAGTGTATTTTCAAACCTCAGTGAATTAAGTGCCATCTCTAGGGTGCATTCTGGTTTTCATATTGTCCTATAAGAAATCCCCTCATAGTTTCACCAATATATAATCTCTCCTACATACACCCAGTATTTTCAGTGTTGTAGGGCTGATGTTAGGTTTTCAGTAACATTTCATTTGATTAAAGGAGGTTGAATGTTTTAAACCAAAGGTAACTGTCAGAGAATGTTAACAGAATCAACGTTGAGAAAATAACAGTATGAAGAGAGCGAGCTCACAACGTCCCTAATGCTGAAACCGCACAGGGGAAGGCCTGGGATGCATGAGCCAGAACCCTCACCATGGAGACTCCTGACCAACAGTGATTCATGTCCACTCATCAGAAGAGAAAAAATACAGCAGCAGTCAATAGAAACCAGACACGCTACAGAACGTGTGGCAAAGTGGTCGATCCCTCAGTGCCTACAAGCATTTCAGTGCACACACTAATTTTCTAAGAGATACTCAAAACATCTGCACATAAAAGATGGAATGGATAGATAAACTAGCCATGTTGACTTTTAAGGCATCTCCTCACAAAAATGGATATCAAAAGAGACTCTGAAACTTGCCCTTGAGTGAAGAGTAGTGAAAGCAAATGGAAGAAATGATAAAAGAGCCGAACAGAAGATTTCAAAGACCAGCTCGAGCAGACAAAACCAATTACTATAATGAAATGTGCAAAGATCTGGAGCTAGAAAACCAAAAGGGAAGAACACGCTCAGCATTTCTCAAGCTGAAAGAACTGAGGTAAAAACATAAAACTCAAGTTGCAATATTGAAAGATTCTATGGGCAAAACATTGAATGATGCAGGAAACATCAAAAGAAGATGGAAGGAATACACAGAGTCACTGTACCAAAAAGAACCGGTCGATCTTCATCCATTTCAGGAGATGGCATATGTTCACGAACCAATGGTATTGAGGGAAGAGCTGAGGGAATTGGCGAGGAAAAAGGCTCCTGGAATTGACGGAATGCCCATTGAGATATTTCAACAAATAGATGTCTCACTGGAGGCACTCACTCGGTAATGCCAAGAGATTTGGAAGAGAGCTACCTGGCCAACTGACTAGAAGAGAGCCATATCTGTATCCATTCCAAAGAAAGGTGATCCCACAGATTGTGGAAATTATCAAACAATATCATTAATATCACGTGCCAGTAAGATCTTACTGAAGATAATTCAAAAACGCTTGTAGCAGTATATTTACAGAGAACTTCCAGAGGTGCAGGCTGGATTCAGAAGTGGACATGGAACAAGAGATATCATTGCTGCTATCAGAAGGATCTTGGCTTAAAGCAGAGAATACCAGAAAGATGTTTACTTGTGTTTTATTGACTATGCAAAAGCATTTGATTGTGTGGATCATAAGAAATTGTAGTTAACATTGAGAAGAATAGGAATTCCAGAATACTTAATTGTACTTATGAGGAACCTGTACATAGACCAGGAGGCTGTCTTTCAAACAGAACAAGGGGACACTGCATGGTTTAAAATCAAGAAGGGAGTGCATCAGGCCTGTATCCTTTCACCATAGTTATTCAATCTGTATGCTGAGCAAATAATCCAAGAAGCTGGACTGTATGAAGAATGTGGCATCAGGACTGGAGGAAGAATCATTAACAACCTGCGATACGTTGACAACACAACTCTGCTTGCTGAAAGAGAGGATGACTTGAAGTACTTACTGATGAAGACTGAAGAATACAGTCTTCAGTATGGATTACATCTCAATATAAAAAAACAAAAATCCTTACAACTGGACCTATAAGCACCATCATGATAAATGGAGAAAAGATTGAAGTTGTCAAAGAGTTCACATTGCTTGGTTCTACAATCAACACCAATGGAAGTAGCAGTCAGGACATCAGACAATGTACAGCACTGGGCAAATCAGCTACAAAGGACCTCTTTCAAGTGCTGAGGAGCAAAGATGTCTCCTTGAGGACTAAGGTGCACCTGACCCAAGCCATGGTATTTTCAATCACCTCATATGCATGTGAGAGCTGGAAAATGAATGAGGAAGACCAAAGAAGAGTTGATGCTTCTGAGTTGTGATGCTGATGAAGAATGCTGAAAGTACCGTGCACTGCTAAAGCAACTAACAAATCTGTTCACAGGAAGTGCAGCTGGTAGCGAGAATGGTCAAATATTGTATCATCTACGTTGGTCATGTTGTCAGAAGGGACCATTCCCTGGAGAAGGACGTCATGCTTGGTAAGGTGGAGGGTCAA